AGATTAACGGGGATCAAATTATGTCTCTCCATGTCCTGTTGCGCCAGCTCCTGCTCTCACCAGCTCTGCCTTGACAGGCAGCAATGCTGCCACCTCCAACTAAATTTGACTGGAATGTAAGGGGGGGCTCTGACCACACCAGCAGGGTTGGCATGCAAGCCCCGCTGCCTAGCTTTGTCCTCCAGCATCCCCCCAACAACCAGAGACTGCAAACAATGGACTGTGATGCTTTTCACGGGCACCCTGGTGGTACCAGAGCCCGAGGGGTCTCCATGGGTTGTATGTCAATATGGGACAGGGCAAGAAGAAGACAAACCCCTGTGGGACTCCACCCATGAAGAGCCTGACAGTAAAAACGCCATTTCCCACCACTGCCCTTTGGGTATGGCTGCCAAAAAGGACTTCAGACCTCTTTACAGAATTGTCCTGGGCTCCTCCTGCCACAGTGTGGCACCTGCCTCCAGTGTGTGGCCATGGTGCACAGTAAAGAATGCCACAGGGGGCAATCTCGCTTCTCCACTGTACAAAAGAAAGGGACAAGCCCTTTCATCTATGGATAAAAAGAAAACACTCCTCAAGATGACTAAACTCTGCTTCTCCTCCAAATCCCAGTCAGGAGCTTTGCAGGCTGCTGGGCAAGGGGACAGGAGACTAATGGGCATGAAAGGGCTTCCACACACCCCTATGGCTCTGGAGAAATGCCCAGCCTCATGGGCAATGCTTCTGGAGGGTCTTGGTGCCATGGGGACACATTCAGTGTTCCTCTTCATTCAGATGCCAGGATGGTCCCTTGATGTCGGCTAGCAACCCCACAGGGCATTCCTTCCCCAGTCAAGCTGGGGTTCAGATGTCCAGCTGGGATGTTCAGGGTTCAGGAGCCAGTACCCCAGTGCAAGCTGGGATCTCCTGAAATGCCTCCTCCTGCATCACTGGAAGTTCTCGAAGTGAAGACAGTGCCTACCTGATTCCCTTCAGCAGAGCTAAGAGCCCTTCTCAGGGGTGAGCGGGCTGCTTGCCAGGACCAGAAATACCTGAGAAAAGCAGCTTTCCCAGAGAAACCAGACAGGGGGTGACTTGGAACCAGAGGTCTGAGGCAATGCTGAGGGCAGAAGACAATACTTAAAATAACATATGGGAATTGCCCTTTGTAGAGCGGAATTGCACTCACATCTCTGAGGTGGTGTATTTTTCGTCAATTTTTGCGGCTCCTGGATATCAGAACGAACACGTGCATGCACACACACTCATACACTAGACTATATCCTTCTTTTAACTTCTGACCAGCCAGAAAAGAGCCCTTTATCCAGTCAGACACAGAAGCGACCAAGTAACAGTCTCTCACATTACACTACTACCTCTCTTGGGTCAGTTTGTTCCAGCATCTTTACATCCTCCAGGATTGCCATTATATATTGCAATCAGAAATGAAGCCACTGACCCTGATAAAAAACCACAGCAGCGTTTGTGCTGAGCAATACAGGATGCTCCTCCCTTGCTCTGTTTCTCTGTCGTCAGCCTCCAGTCCCCAGATGTAGTCACCCATTAGCAATCCTCCCCACCACATGTCTAACACATTGGGGGGGTTTTGTTTTAAATAAATGTCCCACAGAATGGAGGAAGGAAAGACATGCAAAGAGCTTCTTATGTTTGGGTGGAGCAAGGGGAAAGGTACCCTTTGCAGATGTGATGATGCAGCCAAACCGAGGCATCTGCAGCCAGCAGGCCCCAGTGCAGACGGAGAAGTGATGCTACCTTACTGCAGCAGAAAGGCAGGTCAACGCATTTTTACCACCGTGCCCCTTTTTGGCAACAAATTACCTTCGTCCCTGATGCCTTCATTAATAAAAGATCTAGAGCAGGGAGCAGAGCACCCATCTTCACCAGATTTATGCCAGCAGAGAACTGCTTTGCACACAGCTCTCTACTGACTACATCCAGCTGCCTCAGGTGGCCCAACAGGCCCTGGGTACAGGCGAGGCTTTATTTAAATCTGGTCTCCACTATGACAGAGAATATTTTGGACACAACTTGAGCTTCCATCTCAGCTAGCTGCTGTGCATCCAGCAGTCAATCCATCTGTGAAACCTACCTCCTTGCAAAAGGTGGAGACAACTGGTCTATCTAAAGCTTCCACTCCTGGGGCGAGGTGAACATTTACATCCCTGCTCATGTCTCAACATTGGGAAAAAGGAAGAAACTTTCCAGCACGTCTGCTGCTATAAAATGAAAAGAGATCAGGAAGGAGACAGGCAGCTCCTCCCTGATTCCAGTTTCCCTCACTCCTGTAGCCAGAGCAAGGGCAGCTCCTCTTTCAGGAGATGAAAACATCACAAGAAATTAAGGCGATGGATTTTTAAAAAAGGATCAGAAGAGGGGAGAAAGAGAGGAAGTACTGGAATGAAAGGCAGGAAGAAAGCAGAGATGATTTACAAAGCCACATATAGGGAACCTCACTGCTGGAGTATGTGACTGTGCTGGGAAGTGTCACATGAATCTGCTGGGAGATCTCTGTGCTGTAGTTCAGATAAGAAACTGAACATTTGGTTTTTAGCCAAACTGATCCTGAACTTCATAGCCTTTGAGATCCTGCCAATCTCTCCCTCTCCCCGTATGCAATGTGGAAGCTGATTTTGCTTTATGCGTTTGCTATGACAGGTTGTGAATCAACACCATAGAATGATGCAGTATCACATGGGACTATGGGAACTTTTGGGTTCAGGTCTCTATATTTTTGTGACTAAAGATGACTGCTAAGAAAAGTCTAGAAATTGAAACAGTTTCAAGGCTCTACTTATTAAGCTGTTTCTATAAAAGTCACAAAACACATCAAGCTAACTGCATTTAAAATCCTCCAGCTGTCATCCATCACACAGCTTATTTTAAAAGCCATCCTCTGCCAAGTTGTTGTATTCCCCCCCCAGTGTTTGCATTTATGGCATTGATGCTCTCTGAAGAGTTGATAGTTGGAAACACTCCCTCTCTAACGGGGAGGCATGCATGAAAGGTAGGCGCTTGGCTTAGTGGAAATGAGAAGTGCTGATGGTCTGCCCTGCACACAAATAAAAAAATTACAAGCGGCAACGTTTCAAATTAACATCCTGATGCCTCACGTTATTCTTCAGAAAAGCTCAGTCCTTTCTTTGATCTCGGGATTACAGGCAGCCAGGGTCTGATTTTCAGCTATGCAAAGAACCTGCTGCACTACGCCGGTGGTAGGCACAGATCTTAAAATAAACCCCAAAGTACGCAGACCCTCATTTGCAGACCTCTGCCAGCACAGTAGAGTGAGATTGTAATTTTGGGACATCAGTGGGTGAATCAGGCCCCTACAGTCAAATAAGGGCACAGCGCAAAGTCTGGTCTCTCTAAAATCCAGAATTTGTCTCAGGAATTATTTCTCTTTTCATTCCCAACTGATTAATCCCAGACTGCGCTCTTCAGGCTCATTCCCACTTGCAAGAAAAAGAGGACAACTGCAATCGCTTCTATTCTTTATGAAACGAATTCTCGATGGCAACTTTAAATTAAGTGCTGATTTGTTCCACATAATTAATAAATCCTTCTGCAGCATCATACAACTTCCCTCAACCTCAAATGATTTGGAAACTCCCAGAAAATTGTCTAAGAGTTGATATAATTTTCTACATATATACACACCCACAAAATACAACTTTAAGAATGGTATATTGTGTTTTTTTTAATCCACAGATATTTAACCGTATCTACCCTAATTTTTAAGACAGAGAATGTAGAGTAGGAACATTATTGCCTTATTTGCAATCCTACCTAAATACTGCAAGAGGTATTCAATTAATTGTGCCTTTTCAAAACCAAGTGCTAGGTCTCCAGAAACTGCGCAGTACCTGTAAGTCCTGACATTTCAGTAGGGACACAGAACGCTGCACTTCTGGAAATGAGCGCCAAGACGGTCACACCAAAGGGAAGCAATTACAGCCAAGATCTGAAATCTGAAACGCTCAAGATTTCGCTTTTGAAATGCAACATATTTCTTCAATTAAATGTTGAATAGCTGTTACTATAAAAAGCCTATGCAGATCTCGAAGTAAAGCATTATACTCTCTGGTGAAAGAGTATGTCAAGGCCAGAGTCAACAGAAGGCAGCTGCTCCGATGCAGGTTGTCACAGCTAATCATGTAGATCACCCCTCTGCTTTCTGTGTTGCAGGAAAGAATGCACCTACTGCTGTAACAAGAGGCAGACTGCTGAAAATTGGGGTTTACGTACAATTTTGTCAAGCAATAGCAGTAAGCAATTTCTGCTTTGGCAGATTCAGAATGTCTTTTCATATGAAAATCAAAACCAAATATATTCTTGACTCCAGAACAGCCCTGGATCATGCTTTTGTACATGTACATAACAATAAGGCAAAACAGACACTAAAAACATATCCTGGCAATAAATACTTTAAGACTTAATTAGAAAACCAAAAGGTCGCATCCAATACACGAAGATGTCAAATTATCTAGGCTGACATTTACAACTAATTTGAACCGACATTAGCATGAAAAATACAATTTTACTGCAAGAGGTAGTCTTACCTACAAGTTTAAATGTGCCCTTTAAGCATTAATGCTGAAAACAAAGCCCTGAAAAATATCTGCAGCCCTGCCAATTACATTTCTGTATTCTATAGCAAAGCAACGTGTAGCAGACAATTAGCAGAAGATTTCAGCCCCTCATTAGCAAGCAGAACCTAATAATAAGAGAAAAAAACCACCAACATATGAGCTCTGATGAGCAGATTACGGGCTCGATCCAGCTGTGAGATATTCAGGCACCCATTACCATGCAACCAGCTTATCCACAGATGTGAGCAAATACCAGGAGCCGATTTTGCAACGCAGACAGCGATGAGCCCGAGCATCCATGCACCTCTCAAGGCAATAACAGAGCCCTCTGCCTGCCTGCTTGCTCACTGTCACTAGGAAAGAGACACACATTTTGCACAAAGCAGCCGATTTTTTTTTTTGTGGACTTACTTTAACTGTCGAGGTTCGCAGTCAACTCCCGGCAGTAAGAGCCTCGCTGCCTGCCGTACGTCATCGCTGTCCACCGAAAAGCTGCGACGGTGCCCTGCGTGAGCCACGGCAACCCGTATCCACTCCATCAGGGGAGGCAGCACAATGAACGGCCTGGGAAAGCACACAGACATGAATGCTACAGTATACTAGCATCAAAATAACAGGTATACAGAGAGAGGGGGCAGGGGTGCGTGTGTGTGCATGTGTAAATATGTGAGAGAATATATATATACACAGAGAGAGAAGGAAACAAGCAAAACAAAAGCATAGGAGAGCAAACAGGCGCAGCAAATTAGATGTCTCACCCTGTCTCCTGAGCAGGAGTATTTGTAGAGTGAGATTTATGAGCCACGCTCATTTATGGGGCTCCTGTGAGGTCAGTGCACCCGCCTGGCAAACCCTCCCTCCCTCCCCCCATCCTTCACACTGTGTATCCCGAAAAGAGGGCAGGAGCCTGGCACAGGACCACGTCCTGCTCTGGCTGACGTGCTGGGCTGGGTACACTCCCCAGCCACTTTGCAATAGGGATGGGAGAACGAAACGGGGCAAAGAGAGGGGACGCCCCCACCCCAGGATGCCATGGACGGAGAGGTGATGCGTAAGGAAGTCACCAGCATCTCCTGCCGATGCAATGCGTGCCTCGTGCTCGGTGCTGAAAGCAGGGACCTTTGCAGCTGACCCTGCTGTACTGTGGAGGTTATCAGTGAGCAGCGTCAGAAACCACACTGTTCCGTTCCACTTGTTGCTTGTATCAAACCGCCACACCTTTGGGTACCAGCTGTTCCGCCACTTGAGCAAAAATGCACAAAACCAACCCTCAAAGTGGGTGGTGGGAATTTGGGCCACAGCCCCAACTTAAGTAAAGCACGGACACTATCAGAGACATGGTCCTTCACAAGACCTGGACACCCCTATGTCCTAGCAGGAGCTGCCCATGCTTTTTGGGAAGCACACAGCATACAGTTTACCCCCACCTACACTAGAAACTATTTGGGGACCAATAAAAAAACGCCAAAATTTAAATAAGAACCATAGCTTCAAGTCCTAGTTTGGAGTTAAAAAAAAAAAAATTAAAAAATTTGCAGCTGAACATCTTGGAAGGTCACTGCCTGCTAGGTCAAGGTGGACAGAATCCCCAGAGCAAAACAGGCTGCAGCAACTGCCCTCCCATCCCCAACAGGTTTTTGTGCCCTTTTCATCACTGAGCTAGGGTGTCCAAAATGGGTGTCTCCTCTGCAGCTGTACACAGGAGACAAAGTCTGTGAGGGGAAGGGATGAGGAAGGGTACAAGAAATCCCTCTTTATAAAAATATACTACAAAATTCTAAAAATTGTAAAATCATTAAAAACCAGTAAATCTGTCCAAGAGCTACTTGAGAACTATGCTGAAAGTCCTGTATTTAGTCAGGACTGCTGAAAACTCACAGTGAAACTGTTTCATCCACACTGTGAAGAAGATAGGCTAAGGAATGTTAACAGAGATTGCTACAATATTAAAAAAGGGGGAAAAAAAAAAAAGACAAAACTTGTAAATGACTACTGTCCTCAAGGAATGTTTGTAATTAACCTGCTCTTACCTCCTTCTTCTGAACCTTTGTCTTTTGTCTCATTTCCATGTAGCTCCCTTTCCCCTCCTCTTTAACTGTATATTCCCATAGTCTCTCTGTTTATTAGATCAGTATATCATCCTAATACTGGAAATATTCCTTTTAGTGCAGCATCATCCCCTACTTTTTGCTCCCTTCACTTCTCCTGCTCCTTTTCGTTTGATATTGCTTTCCCTTACTTGCCTTCCTTTCTGTGGGGGGGAAAAAAAGAAAAATTCTGGATTAGGTGCCCCGTAGGCAAATACTTTACATTTTAAATATCTAACTTTACCCAAAAAGGATCTACTCCTAGAAAAATTATTTAAGATTATGTTGATTCTGGACTATCCTTTTCCTATTTATAGCTCTTTATGCCATTTATTTCTCTTTTCAAGACTTGACTTTACATAGCTCTGATATTAATATTCTTGAGGAGGGATGAGATATTTCACAAGCGCCGAAGGACACAGAAGCCCCGAGGCCACTAACTTTCCCTGGGACACTGGGTTCCCAAATCTCACAGGCGCTTAAATAAACGACCTCCTTTTGAAACATGACATCTTTGGCTGACTTGCCACTTTCATTGTTATTCCGTTCAAACACATCGCTGTCACCTCAAGACTAGGCTGCATTTGTTTCCAAGGCTTTTTGCTTTCCTTGGACCTGCCACGGCCACATAAGGAAGCAGATAAGGACAGAATATCTTCTCCCACAGCTACAGTGGAAAGATATCCATTTGTTGTGAAGGTGGTGGTGGTCAGAGGAGGGAGAGGGGAGAAGTGAAGGGTTCATCTGCTCCTGGAAAGTGACCTGCTTCCTAGATCACCTGCGACATGTGTTATCAGAGCAGAAAGGACCCTCTCTCAAGGCGTTAAGTAGCTGGGGACAAGTAATCAGTGGGAGTTGTTTTCATCACTTACTGTGCAAACAGCAGGAAGGGAGCTGCAAATCACACTGAAGTGTAAAAATGCATACAGTCACCCATAAAACGTGGTGCTAGGAAAGCAACTAAAGGGAAACTCAATTCTAGGTTATGGTTTGCATGAGTGAACATGGTCTGGATCAGAGAAATGAAGACAGGCTCGTACGGAGCCTTCCTATAACATCTGCTGGGCAAACAGAAGAGCGGAGGGCCATGCCTGAACTGGAGACCCTGGAGTTTCACACTTTCTTCTCATCTCTCATGCACGTCAAAAACTCGCCCAGCATAAAATCTGCCCCACCACAGTAAGAAGCAGAGCAAATAAAATTATATACAGGAACTGTGATAATTGCAGTATAAAACTGATTGGTTTTCCTTTCCTGGTCTTGCAAACTTCAACAGAGTAATAGAAATGAACATGGCTATTTGGTGCAATAAATCCCAAAAGGGAAGAGAATCGGTGTCCTGCAGAAGCGGGGGAATTTTCTCTAAAGGCCTGTTTCAATCCCTACATGAGGATGTGGAGTTTGCTCACAATATACTACATTCCTTTTTCCAAGGCAAAAAAAAAATCCTAACTGCATATCTGAGCATGTCAGGGAATTCATATTTTGAGAAGAGAACCAAATATGGCTGAGTGCAATAGGTTAAAAATACCCTTTGAGAGTCTCTACATCACGTGAAGGGGATTTTTTTTCTTTAAATACTGTTTGTGTGCCAAAGAAGAAAGAGGAACACAAATTTACAGGGG